GTAACTATTACTAAACCTAATAGACATACTTACATACATACATACATACAAATAGTTATTCGTACAGTGATTGTTTCACAATATTCGCAATGTTTTTAATAATGATTATTCGGTAGTTTTTCACGAAAATTAAGTTGATGTTTTAACAAAAACCAAACGATTTAAATTTTAAAACTTTTTGCAAAACTTAAAAAATTCTACAAATTTTCATCTATATTTCAAAATTTTGACTCATTTTTTTTAGAGAAAAATTGCGTTATTTTTTGAGATTTTATTTTCTCAATGGTGTGGAACGTTTTCTTCCAAGCAAAACTACATTTTGCTCATGGAAGCAGATATGTAACACCCTTGAGAAACAAATTCTAAAAAATCAAAGGTAATTTAAAGCGACTTGATGCTTGCGATTTACTAACTGAATGAGCTACAACTCTGCATACAAAATTTGTTCTAAAAACTGTCATTCAAAATTTTGATGAAAATTTGTATAATTTTTTTAAGTTTTGCAAAAAGTTTGAAAATTTCATTTATATGGTTTTTGTTAAAATAGAATTTTCGCGAAAAATTAACGAAAAATTAAAAACATTGCGAATATTGTAAAACAATCACTGTACGAATAACTATTTTGACTATGTGTGTAATTACATATCGAGCCCTAACCGCCAAAATAACGTAAGCGACTTTTTTTTCAAAATTTTATTTTTGATGCAGAAATACATCTAGATACCCTAGGAATATTTCTGCATCAAAAATAAAATTTCGAAAAAAAATGTCGCTTACGTTATTTTGGCGGTTAGAGCTCGATATATGCATACATAGTATGTAGGTCTGTAGAGCTTTAATAAGTTATATTACACTGATAAATTTATGAATTTCAACATTTCACTTAATATTACTTCCAAAATTACTTGTACAAGTGCCCAGTAAAAATATTTGTCATCTAGAGACGAGCGACCACTCGTGGGTGTCATCATAATATTGTTATAACTTTAGAACTACTTGTTGTCTAAACCTGAAACTTTCCCAAAAATATCCGTATATATTTGTTCTTAATGCTGCATTAAAACAAAACAAAAATTTTTAACTTCATAACACAACTTTTGCATTTGTAAAAATCACCTCCTTAATGTTTATAAAAAAGTTAAAATATCCGCCATTTCGTTTTAAATAAGTATTAAGAAGTGCAGTTAGACTCATCTTCTTCAGAATAGAATCTAGTCTATTGTGTACAAATTTCAAATCAATCGAATCATAAACGTCTGAGATATAAATGCAAATTTCGCAAAAATTGCCCGCATGAAGGCGTGAAAGTAAAAAATCGCCCTGAGACGATATGCGCAGAGAGAGGCAATTTTTATTTCGCGGATTGCGCGACCTTCTATGTATAGATCGTGGGTTGAACCGGGCTTGAACCCAGGCTAACCGCTATATCACAGCAGCCGTCTATGATTCCACCAAATGAGAGGATCTTCTTGTCTGGGTATAAGGGGTACTGTAAATATTTCTCCATTTCTGCATCGTTTGGCTATCCACATCACTTCTGGAATCAGTACACGGTTAAAAATTTTGGTTTTAATTCTAAACTTTTTGGACTACATATATGACCAAACTAAATTCAGTTTCAAATACAAATCTTCCAAGTTTTAAAAAAGAGAGCACATATGTTGGGTTTAGAATTTAATCAGTTCGATACGCAGTGGCAGTGGCAGCGTCAGTTTTTCGAAATCAGCTGTTTTTTTAGAAAGTGTGGTGTCCAATGAAGCGACTCACAATACAGCAGTGGCAGCTAGCAGTACTGCTCAGTTTAGCCCAAATTCTAAATTCACTACAACTGCCTTCATCGCAGCAACTTCGCTTGTTGAATTTGACATAAATGAAACGCAGCCAACTTCTGTTGATGTCACCGAAGCCTAAAAGGCAACAACAAAAAATTGTCTACGGTTGGTGTTATGCAGAAATTTTGTTTGGCAAACTGCGGGCAATTGTTGTTGTAGCAAACTCGGAGAGAGCGAGTTTGGCGACTCTCACAGCAAACTAATTTTGTTTGGTCAAACTGCAGCAAATTCGGTGTTGTCATATACAAAAATTTTAAATTGTGCGCGTTATGTACATCTGAAATTCTCATTTCGTGTTGGCAATAGCCATGAAAACCATAATGAACGCGCAACCCTGTGCCAAACTCGACATAACCACCTCCGAGCAAACTAAGCAGCCGCCATTTAATTTGGCAAACAAAAGTTTGTCTGCATAACACCGACCTACCACAGTCGAAGATCGAATAAAACTCATAAAATAGCTCTGATCCAATACTTTTCGTGTAAAATCCTGTAAAAATGTCAAACAGCAAAAATTCTCTCTGAAGTGAGAGTAAAAAGTGAGTAACAAGAAAGAGTACGGGAACAAAAAAAGCATTTTTCCTGTAAAAATGTCTACCAGTGATCGCTTGACAATTATCATGATTTTACCAGAAGAAAAAGTTCGGATAAAATCTTGCAACTTCATTCTCTACACAACTCTCCAAAAATGACTCTCATTTAAAGGATTTTGGAGGATCATCAGAAAATAAAACGAGTTTTTAAATGTGTGTCAGAAAATATTGCAACAATGATGCTTTTCGGAGCGATTCGAGCGAATCGATATGTTTCCATGCAGATTAGTTCGATTTTCATCATATTTTTTAATAAAAAATAATCAATCACGTATTTTTTCTTAACGGCGTTCATTGTTGTTTCACTTTGGCTTTGGTGTTTCTCTTCTATTTACCAAAAATAATCGATAAATGCGGGTTGAAGGCAGAGAAGTTATCTTTTTAATACAGGATTATAGATTTGTTACACACACGCAGCCCAGAAAGCGTTACTCATGCTAGAAAAGTCACATAAAGTCATTGTTTAGAACTGATTTGTTGATTCCGGGTACGAAAGGCGATTTTTTGCGTTCCTGACGCTATTGGCACTTTTGGCACGAGTTAACACATTTGTGACACTTGTAAGAGAGTAACTTATTTTTATGCTCTAATTACCGAAACAGCCCGGAAAGCGTGCGGAATAAACCTTATATCATAACTTGGATTTCGGAGGAGAAATGGTTATTCTTAATTTCGTATAGGATAGCTCAGCTCGAAAAAGCAGATAATCTAGCTAAACAAAAAAACCTAACATCGATTGGATATCCGAATCCGGGCTGTTTGTTATTTCTTAAAGGATATCCGGAATCCGGTTATCCGGCAAAATCTCTACCCGGCACATTCCTAATATATATACACACATATATGTGTGTAGGTATGAAATTTGTGACCGAAACAAAAAAAATCATTGGCGCATATTCATAGTCATATTTAGTACTCAACTAAGTCGAAACTATTCTAAGTCACAACTAAAGCTATTCATAGTCGCCTTAGTTTCGACTTTTCTGGCTAGGTACCAACTTAAAATTTAATTTCGGCTGCAGCTGCAACTAAGTCGTAACTACGAAGAAGTATTTTATCAAATTAAACAGACGAAATATGTAAAAATTAAGTTGGTAGAGGGTGATTTTGATAATATTGAATAATCTCCCATTAAAATTTACAAAGATCGATCCATTTTAATCGGAAGATGAAATTAAATGCGTATTACAATTCGAATAAAGCTACATCACAATTTTATAATTGGAATAATTTAGATAAATTCTCAAATAATAAGTCAGTTTCACGCTAGTTCTTTTAAAGTAAATTTGTGCATAACATTTAGATATCTACTATTTGTATGTTTCACAGCATGCTTTCGATAAACATCGACTTCACATCACTGCGGATGTTTTGGCTATTTCGCACAATTAACAAGAAAATGATACCTTATTCTTTTGCATAACCATGCAATGAAAATAAAAATTACATAAACGGATGATCAAACTTGACATTATTTAATAAAAATGTAATTTTTACAAAATATCGTAAAGAAAAATCGATACATTTTCACACTCGGTTTGCTATATCGTAAACTAAGTCGAAACTACTTAGTCGATGTTGCGGAAACTCGAAGCTTGTAGGGGAGAGAGCGACGAGGAAAGGGGACGGGTACCGAGTCGCCCGTGCTCGGGAAAACCCCTCTTTGTGCTCTCGTTCGTCTGAGTAATTCAAGTTGGCGATCCACAGCTGACAACAACAATTGCGTACAAAAGAGTTTCTGTGTGTGAATGCAAAGGGCAACACCAAAAGAGAAATCGCCGATAATAAGAAACTCGAGTTTCCGTGTTTGAACGCCTACTTAGTAGAAGTCTGAAATGCGACTATGAATAGAAGTAAATTTTAAGTTGGTACTTAAATTTAAGTTGCAACTTTGTTAGTTTCGACTTAGTTGCTGGACTATGAATACGCGCCATTGTGCTTGTTTATTTTTAACCGACTTCCAAAAAAGGAGGAGGTTATCAGTTCGTCGGAATATTTTTTTTTTTTATGTATGTTACCGCATAACTTTGCACCACATCAACCGATTTCAATAATTCTTTTTGCAACGGAAAGGTGGTGTCTCAGAGGTGGTCCCATACTAATTTGGTTTAGATCCGATCATGAAATATATAGATATATGTATATATTTTTTTTAAGTCGGTTTTTTTTTGCTAAAAATTACTTGTTTAACCTTAAATTCACAACTTCAAATCGATATAAAAAGGAAAAGGGAACCAACTTTTACAATTGCTTTGGTATGTAGTTATTCATGTTTTGACGTGTTTTAGTGAATGCAATTGGCCATATTCCCATCACTTTTTGAGCGTTGCACTGTGTAATTATCGATCTATATTGAAATTGACGTTTGAAAACAAATAGAAACTGAATATTTAAATAATTTTTTAAATTTTGCATTTAGAAATGTTACAAATGTGTTTAATCTTGTTTTCATTACTTTTATTGTGGCTTCTGTAAATTTTACAACAATCGATACAATCCGATAACATTTCATCACTTTAAGAGTACCTGTAGGCGAAAACCCGGCTAACCACATTGTTGACCGATGGCAACATCTTGAAGACTGCTTTGGCAATCAGCTGTTTGTCAACTTTAACTTGCTCCACTTACAAATTTTTCTCACATTTGAACAAAATTTTTCTTGTATTTACAAAACCTAGCCAAAAGCAAAGTCATGGCCGGACGTGAAGCCGTAAGAAAAGCTGTACAGCAAGTGCGTCCCATCTTGTCGGTGGATCGGGATGAGGCGCGCAAACGTGCGCTCAATCTGTACAAAGCTTGGTATCGGCAAATTCCATACATTGGTAAGTGCATGAATCTCTATTATGTCATCGTCCGATGTGAGCAAGTTGGAACCAGAACGCTTGTGGCCAAAGACGTAAACAAATTGAAAATTCGCCGTCACATTTATAAGATTTGATAGTTCGTGCCATGGCAAATGCCGTAGTGAATACTGCAGATGCATAATTTTATTACAACTACTAAGATTTTTCTTTGCAGTTATGGATTATGACATCCCAAAGTCGGTACAACAATGCCGCGCTAAACTGCGGGAAGAATTTGAGAAACATCGCAACGTGACGGATGTGCGTGTCATTGATATCCTAGTGATAAAGGTAAGCGAACATTGGTCTAAAATTATCATTTCTTCAAGCGCGAAAAGATTGCAAATATTTATTAATATTATGAACGAAATCCGCGCCGTCTGAAGGCGCAGTTAATTTAAGGCCAGCCCTTGCATAGTGCGTTGACCAGAGTCAGAAGTATGTATTCGATTATTATCGACTAGTGCGGAGAAACAAACACCTCATAACGCATTCTGGTACAAGACGTGTCTCTCCAGCAGTACATGATTTGTATGCTGTTACCACAACAACAAAAACCTCTAAACAAAGAGCTCGCGGATTTTCACGACTGAAAATAAAAACATGTATCCAGGCCTAAAATTTTCCTAGTGCATTTCCGAGCCTCCGATTTGTGGCGTGTGACTTGATGTCACACAAAGGGCAAATGCTTTTAAAGAGAAACTGTTTTTATGGCAGAAATTCACTTGGAGGTTTAATTTTGCCAGTCGAGGGGCTACCTCTATTAAAAAAAAATGCATAATGCTTGGACCTGGGATCGAACCCTAAACCTACCGACTGACAGTGCGCACCCCTAACCACTCGGCCATGGCGGCCACCTTAATAATAAAAAATGTTATTTCAAAATATGGATGGAGAAACCTGCTTAGTGAAATAAAATTTTTTTGTTGTTTTTAAAAATTTAGTGCCGAATACAATATACAATACAATCCAATATTGAGACGCCAAACTTTGTATAGCGACAACTCTTATATTGCTATTGCCAGATATTGCCATTTTGTAAACAAAATTTATCCAAAAATAGAATGCAATTTTTTCTCATTGGCAATGCTTTTGTCCATGCGCTCTTTTTAGTTGAGCAAGAGTGCTCTCTTCTCATTCATAATGAGTATATCATTTATCAATCGCTGGGCGTGCGGCTGCGGTGTCCGAGTGGTTAAGGAGATGGACTTGAAATCCATTGGGTTCTACCCGCACAGGTTCGAATCCTGTCCGCAGCGAGGTGGAGTTTTTTCTCATTTTCTTTTTTTTTTAATGTTTTAAATTAAAATGCGTAAAAAATAAAGAAAAACTTCTCTTCCAGGGTCAAATGGAGCTGAAGGAGACAGTCGAAATCTGGAAGCAAAAGGGTCACATAATGCGTTACTGGAAGGAGAGCCAAGATCCCAAACCAACCGATTTCTTGTCGAAATTCTTGCAAGGAGTTAATTGAAGTTTTAATTAATTTATAAATATTTAAGAAATTGTCCAACGCGCTACCCAAGATTGTTATTAACACAATAAATTGTCAGAACTGCGAAGCAAATAGTGATAATTTTAAATAAAATTATTTAAAAAAACTCGTAAAGTATTTTTTTGTTTATTTCTTATCTGAAATTCGAGATTAATAGGTAATAGAAAATTAAACTTAAAAAATTAAAACGATTTTGTTCAAGCTACATTTCGCATTAACGCACATGTTGCTTCAAGCAACTGCATATTTCAAAAGCGATAGCTGACAACTTAAGTATCAACTTGCATAATTTAATTAGTGAATTTTTTTCGATTATTCGTACGAATGTAAATTTGAGGAATTTTTATAAATACTAAAGTAAAATACTTTAACAATTCTCTTTTTTTAAGGTTAATGCTTTTAAGTCCTTGGGAATATTTCTGAAACATTTATCTTATTTAACAATTTAAAATCTCAAATTTATTTCAAATAATAAAAAAAAAATTAGCAAAAGTGCTTGAAGGCTAAACATAAATAAATTGTGTGTGTTGTTCCACGTAGTATATGGTTACATGTGGTTTACAGCAACAAAAAATTCACTGAAATACTCCCCCGATGTCTAGGCAACAACTCACCAAATGACATCATCAATATCTGTAAGGCGTAAATGGAAAGTGTGAATTGATATGAAATTTACAATTTGTTATAAATTTATTTTCATTAAAAACTAACCAAAGCCATGTGGATAAATTTGTCCGAACATGTTGTAAGCGAAATTGATGTCATCATCATCCATGTCCGAATCGGGAAAGTAGAAATCATCATCCTCATCGGTGGGGTCATAATCGTCGTCGTCGTCGTCGTCGTCATCTAACCAGCCATCACCATCCCAGATATCGTAAATATCAACGCCATCGTCAAGGCCCAAATCAATATTTAGCGCATGGAAAACTACTTTCATAAGCGACTCTTTCTCAGCAGCCTTATATTCCTGGCACTGCATAAATAAAAGGAAAAAAGAGCACATTATTACTGATACCAATTGTCAAATATTTTTGTAACGCACTGCCGAAAGTCCATAATTATCTATAGATGTTCCATATACCAAAATGATCAATGGCGCTTTTGGTCTATCAGTACGGTCCTTTAAAATAGTTATGGCCTTAGAAATGAATTCCAATGTTATTTTTTTGCAGAACTGTATGTTAATGTGACGCAAGTGCCTGCAGCAGCGCAACAGTCTAAGCAGTCCCTCATTTGTTATATCACCACAGCTTTTAATAGTCAACTCTTCGAGTTGATCTAATTTACAAAATTTTCGAAGCGCATCATCGTCGACCGCCTGATTATTAGCGCAAAAAAGAGTTTTCAGTTTCTTCAAATCCGATATCAGATTGACGTGCTCGGCAGTGAGCGAATTTTTGGCAACAATTTTTAAAGTCTCCAATTGATCGGCCTTCTGTGCGACCAGTTCGACAAATAATCTTGTATTTGATATAAAACCTGAGGAGTGGCGCAACAATTCAAGTTGCTTCAATCGTGGCAACGATGCTACCTTTTCATATGAAAAATCAGGGCATGACATTTTCAATACCTCGAGCTGTTGACAATGTTCAGGCATGGCGTCGAAAAATGCTATCGATAGCCGTTCACAGCGGCGTATATCCAAAGTTTTTAAATTTTGCATCGCCTTGCAAATTTCAATCAAATTCGTAGTTTGAATATTGCTACAGCCATACAGGTTTAGAGCCTTTAGTTGCACCAATCCGCTTATGAATTTACCTGTGAGCGAGCACAAACAAAGCATTTACACACGCATTAATATTTTAAGGGTAAATTTTCCATTCAACGGCAGCTGCCTTTGCCTTACCTGTTAACTCATAGTTTTCGGAGAGCGCCAATGACTCTAATTTATCTAAATGGTGCAGCGTCTGTACTGAACTATCGTTAAGAGAGCAATCATGTAAATTTAAATCCTTTAGTAGAGGAAAATTGCGTAGTAGCTTCTTCAGACATTCTGGTCGCATTTTGCTATCATCCAATGAGATGCGTTTCAAATTACTGCAGAATATTCTTATAAATTCAATGATACGTTCACGATTTTTAAACGGTATATTTCCAGCCACGTGTTCTATATTTTCACCCGCGAATCGAAAGAAGTCGCGTATCTCCCATAAAGTCATTCCAGACATCTTGTAAAGATCGAAGTTTTTGAATTCGTGTTTGCTGAACATTTTGAATACATCTTGGAAACGCTGACATACACGCGCAAAACGTACTTGGTCACGCAGCTCTAAAAGCCGACAGATCATTTCCAGGCAGTCGTCATTGAGCGCAAGTACATTCAAGCCTTCAACGGACGCAGCGTGGTATGTCGGAGTGGCGGCAGGTTTTACCTCCTCGCTTTTATTTTTTTGTTTGCTCTCGGCTGAAGTAGAAGCCGCATCAGTCTCATTTGGTTTTTGGCTACATGCCTTTTCGGCGTCTGGCTGATTCCAGCTGTCGCCGGCTTTAACTCCAATGCGAGACCCTTGTAAACGATGATTGCCTTTCCGCAAAGCACTAAGTTTTACCAAATTATATCATAACTTCGTACATGAATGACGTTTTACCTGAATGCACCAGCCGGTTCGGCAAAGTTTACAAATCCGACTTTGGGTGCAGCGCGACGGGATCGCTTTCTGTCAGGAACCAATCGCACATTAGAAACCTTGCCAAACTTGGAGAAATAGCAGCGTACGTCATCTTCGTTAAACTAAATAAAAAAATGTGTCAGTGATCTTCCAGTTCGTATGAGTGCGCTGCTATACCTTCTTTGGAATGCTGTATACAAAAATATTGTATATCAATACGTTATCCTCGGTGTATGCCATTTTATCCTTTACGAAGTAATTTTGACTATTCGAAGCCTCTGCAACTGTAAAATTTTTAACACACAACACCGACGACATCATCATAGCCGCGCGGCAGTACTCACGCAATTCTAACACATCGAAGTACGACATCCTGGCCCAACAGAATTCAAATGGAGAATGATCGGCTTCTCAACGTCTTCTTCCCTCAGAAGTTGTTCTTCAGCAGAGCGGCAAGCAAAATTATCCTTGCAAATTCTTCTGTTCGATCAAATTTCGATTTTCAACAAATCTTTCACACATGAATAATATATAGCTGAATGTCAGAGAACGTACGTTCTCTGTGAATTTTTTTCCTGTTCACAGTAGAGAAAGTGCTGAATGTTTTTTTTCTCATATGCAGCTGTTAAGTTTGGCGCGATCTTTGAAATTGTCAGCCCTATTGAACAAAAACAAAAATAACAAATCAGGGTATCCAGATTGTTAAAAAAATCGCCATTTCTGANCTTCTGTTCGATCAAATTTCGATTTTCAACAAATCTTTCACACATGAATATATAGCTGAATGTCAGAGAACGTACGTTCTCTGTGAATTTTTTTCCTGTTCACAATAGAGAAAGTGCTGAATGTTTTTTTTCTCATATGCAGCTGTTAAGTTTGGCGCGATCTTTGAAACTGTCAGCCCTATTGAACAAAAACAAAAATAACAAACCAGGGTATCCAGATTGTTAAAAAAATCGCCATTTCTGAAAAAAAACGCCAAAAATCACCCAAAGTTTTTTTTTATAAGATTCATGAAATTAGCTTAAAAAATATTTTATTTTAAAAATTACATATAACATAGTTTTGGGAAATGTTTAGCTATTTGTACAACGATTTAGGGGTGGGGGCGGAGGGGGAGGGGGTGTGGGCCCCACAAAGCCCCCCTAAACGAAAGAGGATTGACGCCGCTTTATGAAAACTCACCCCTCCCACAGACCACTGGGGAGCTGTTTGCAAATAGGGGAATTTTAGATTTTTTGCAAGGAAAAAACAAAGTTAAACTTGCGTCCGAAGAAGGGGGGCTGAACACCTTTTGCAGAGAACACCTTTCTGCGTAGGCGGCCTTCGGCCGCGCTTAGGGATTATAACCCTTACTACGTAGAATTCTCCTTTCTGTGTGACATAACTGGGGCTACCGCCCCAGTGATGTAACCTTGGGAAAGGATGAGGTAACTAGAATTCCCTTTCTGTGTGGTAAACCTGGGGCTGCCGCCCCAGTGATGTCTATTTTGGTTACTGGGTGTTTTATAAAAATATCTTGTACATAAAAATGTATAAACAAATTTATAACAAAAATTTGCAACAAATACGATATTTCCAGCCGACATTATTGTTAAATTAGTGCACAGATTTAGTAAATTAAATTTTTGTAATAAAGCGTGAACTGTTGTCTACAAGTNGGGCTGCCGCCCCAGTGATGTCTATTTTGGTTACTGGGTGTTTTATAAAAATATCTTGTACATAAAAGTGTATAAACAAATTTATAACAAAAATTTGCAACAAATACGATATTTCCAACCGACATTATTGTTAAATTAGTGCACAGATTTAGTAAATTAAATTTTTGTAATAAAGCGTGAACTGTTGTCTACAAGTGTGTGTAAAAGTTTTTTGATTCGATTCACGCGTTTGGGCACAGCAACCCAAAATCGTTGTACAAATTCATAAACAGTACCCATAGTTTTTAAAACCAAAAACGAATGTAATGCCTTCAGGGTAATAATTAATGACATAAATCACTTATGTGATAGTGATGTACAAACAATTTTCTTTAAAAATATTCATACTTTAAAAAAATATTTGTATTAACCAAAGAACGTAAATCTATAAGAGGAGACAACACGTTATAATTGTAGCGAGTGTGAACATCAGGAGCGTACCTTCTCTTTTCATCCAATCACAAAACGTATTTGGGCAAAAGAGAAAGCACTCTTATTGGCAACGAAAAAAATATCTGAGTACAACTCTACAACAAAAAACTTTTCAGGAGTTTTGCGCTTTTCAGGCTTTGAGCTAAACAATAATTTAAAAAAATCTACCAAATCTGGAAAATACATACCATTTGTTCTATTTTTTAGTGATTTCAATAAAAATAAAAATAAAAATTGAGGATTCAAGCTAAATATATACAACATTTGGAAAAATTGAAAAAATGTCGTCTAAATTTTGAAATTTTTATTCGGAATTTTTAGAAATTTTTTGGTATGGCGTTGTATAGCCCATGGAAGATTAGTTTTAGTAATAATGTCTAGCTAATATTTTCCGAAAGTTTTTAAAAATTTGTTTGCCGCCAGTCATTTTGTTTTTTTTTTTGGCATTTAATAATTTTCATTTATAAAAACTGGCGTTGGCTTCTTTAATTTTTTTTTGCGAACAATCGTAGTGTATTGTCCATTTTTTCTTCTTATTTAAACAATCCTTTAAAATATTTAGGCAATCAAAAGCTCCTCACGATTCCAGTAAAATAAAGCTTGAAAGTAGCACGAAATGTTCGCTTTTTATCGCTGTGCATAATTGTGTGTATTAGGAATGTTAATCCCGAGATCCCGGTATCCCGGTCTTTTTTAATTATTTATTTGCTTAGAATCCCAGGATTCTCGGGATATGTAATTTACACTGGTGGCAATAATAGAAACGTTTTATGTTGACCAGTTTTGGCTATATTTCTTTTGTTTTGTTCGTTTGCAATTTTGCACACAAAAAAAATCAATGGCCCGTAGTCATAGTCAAAATAAAGTCGACTTTAAAGTTAGTTGCAGCTTTTTTGACAGATATCCCATTGAAAATTATGTCAAAAAGCTGCAACAAACTTTAAAGTCGACTTTATTTTGACTATGACTACGGGCCAATATATTCGCCAAACCAAGGGCCAAATATAGTAAAATTGCGTTCTTAATTTTTCTCTCTGGCGTCAGGATTTTTAAAAAGAACTTTGAAATTTGAAAGATATGAGTAATTCAAAAAACTGATTTAAAAATTTCAGTGCAATATACTTAAGAAACCAGTATGGGTATCATATGAAAGAGAAGATTCTGTAGAGTTAAAACACATTACATCTTTTGGTCCGTAAGGGATGGGAAGATATTGAAAATACCCTTTTGTAATTTTATCCTTGAATAAACTTGAAATTTCTCAATTCGTATTTTTGAAAAAATTATATGTTAAGGACCAACTTTATTAGCTTAAAAATATAAAATAGATTAAAGGGGCATTTTCAAATCTTATTCGTCCTTGTGAACCCAAAAAAATTATTTCATTTGGTACCCATACTTTTGTTTTACATCGCACTGAATTTTTTAAAATAAGTTTTAGAATCAACCATATCTTTGAAATTATAACCCGCCAAAATAACGTAAGCGAAATTTTTTCAAAACTTTCATTTTGATGCAGAAATGCATCTAGATGTTTTAGGAATATTTCTACATCAAAAAGAAAATTTTGAAAAAATGTCGCTTACGTTATTTTGGCGGTTAGGGCTCGATAAAGACTTTTTAAAAAAATCATGACGTCAGAGAAATGCCCATTTATAAATATTTGCAGTAAATTAGGTGTAATATGAGGTAGACTTTTATAAAAACAATGTAAATTTTGGATAAAGAAAAGGAATATAGACAAAACTGTTCGAATTATAGCGCTTCTTTTATTTCTGCCACTAAAATTATGGTCTTCTTTCAACCAGAAAAGAATTTTTTTGACTTAATATTTTTGCATCGAGCTTTTTTCGACATTCCTTAAATTATTTTATCAGATATGTATGTACTAAAGTATTATTAAATGCATATAAATTAAATTACTGTCTGTCGTTTTGTTACTTATGAAATAATTTTCACTTTAAATAAAAAAGTACGTTGCAAACCCATTTACTTATTTATTATATGGTAGGAGAGCTTCTCAAACCACATTGATGCAATTTTTAATGTTAATTCATCGAAAAATAATAAATATCTAAATCCCGGGACTGATCCCGGGATCTCCAAATTGAACCAACGACATACTGAAAATCTTGGGATCGCAAGAATCTAAAATATTGACATCCCTAGTGTGTATATATAAAAAGTGTACCACAAACTTTCGAAACTTAATGCAATAAAGTAGACACTTTTGGTAAGAAATTTATAATATAAAGATAGCTGCGAAAAATAAAGCGGGAACGCAAATTTTTCAAACCAAATACTTCAAAAAATCTACCAAAATATAAAAAAATTATCTTTTCACCAACCCAAATTTTTTCTACCAATTTACCAAAGTGGCAACCGTGTGCACAATTCAACTATTGCTGAAAGCCTAAAGGCCCGTCCACATAGAACTCTGGCGTTCCGTTGGCGTTGGCGTCGCTTCAACAGCTGACTATCCAGCCGTCCACATAGCCAAAATTCGACAACGCTCTCGCCAACACAAAGCAAAAAGGTGGCCAACTCTCAACTTTTCGCGTGCGTCGCTTGTCAGCTGTTGCAAATAAATAAAATTATGTGAAATATTTTTCTTTTTTAGTCAAGTGCGGGCAAGAAATATCATTTTTAATGCAATTATTGATATGAAACATAGATTTATCTGTAATGAGTATGTTAATTTAGTGGCCCAAGCATTCGCTGCCAAGCGTTCATTGTAGCAAGCATACTTTTAACGTGCGTTCTGTCAAACTAACGCCAACCCCAAAGCCAACGCGAAAGTTCTATGTGGACCGGCCTTAAAAAGCACTGAACGCCTGAAAAGCTTGTTGTGGAGTTGTACTCTCTCCCATGATACAAAAAAGAAGGTAGTTTCACTCAATGATTTCGGCCGCCATGTTAGCCATTTGACTTTTCCTGCCATTATGACATCTCTATCAAAATCAAACTACCAGCTATAAAAAAATATTTTTCAACTGCCTTTGCAATAATTTCAAACAACAGATTTTAAAACGAAAATCAGTCATTTTAATCAAATAAAAAATGAATTGAAAGCTGTAGGAATCTTATAAATTTGTTCTCGTTTATTAGAAATAAGTGTTTAGAAGCTCTTGTGACGTGAAAGAATAAAATCTTCCCGAAGTACAATTTGTTTGTTCAAAGCAATATATTTCCTCAATTTCAAAGGTTTTGGAGAAACTGGATCGTATGTATGTAAGTATACTTGTATACATATTTACATTAGATTGGATCACTCCACTACTGTTTTTCCATTGGAATTTTAAAATCTATTATATTTTAAGACTTGCTCCAAATACCACCTTGAAAATACCTCCTCCTTGAGTTTTTATGAATAGAAATAGCTTTTTGAAGTATTTTTTGAAAAAAAATCACCTCAGATGACAAAATAGTTTTAACTAAAAAACATTCATTGAACTTAAAAAAAAATAATCCTAAGATTTTTGATTTTGATGCTCCTTTTGAATTTTTTTCGGAAATTGGTTTAAGAAAAACTTGAATAACTAAGTCAAGACTTCACCGATTTAGACTCGTAAGGTACCATTGGAAAGATATTTTATCACTCTTTTTGTATTTTTGCATAATTTAATTCAAAGTATAACGAGTGTCATTCCAACTTTAATTAAGATGCGTTGATATTTAAAAATAAAAATTTCCACATTAATGAGATTTTGCAAGTAAATAAAAATGGTGAGAAAATACCTTTCCACATATGTAAGTCTAAATGGGTATAGTTTTGGTCTTGTTATTTAAGTTTTTCTTAAATCAGTCTTTGAAAAAAAGTTATAAAGCATGGAAATTCTCGTTATTATAATCCCGTTGAATTTTTTTTTAATAATTTTATGCAGATTTTTTAAGCTTACACTGTTTTAACGTCCAAGGGTCTTTTTTTCAGAAAATCCTTCAAAATAACTACATATTTTCAAATCGGTCCAGTTCACGACCTTCTAATCATAATTATTACACATTTTAAAACTCCAAATATGTCTTATTTAGGATCGTCTGAAAAGACTAAGACCCATTAAAAATAATAGAAACTCCCAACCCAAAATACCATCAATCATATTTTGTTAATATCAATGTGGCAACGCTGCTTTTGTCTGGTATAAACCTTAATGCCTGGATTATAAAAACACTTGAAACGATTATGCGTTAGATTTCTCCAGGAGGCCTATGTAAAATGATGACAAGTTTTTGAATTTCTCACACAAACTTTTTGTAGTACTAGGCGTATATAACGCATTAGTTAACAGATAGGGTTCTTACTGGGTTCTTGCTGGGTGGTAATCTGTCAGGGTTGAATTTTGCTGAAACTATACATTTATCGACCAAAAGCGTTTGATAAAGTGATAAACTTTGGTTAAATAGATTTCCATACAAGGTTTGAGAGTTCATTTAACAAACTGAGAAATTTATGTTGTTGTTATTGTGGTGGCACTACTAAGCCCGACTATTTCGGGTCGACAATCAATCATATTCGTCAAGCTCAACTAACGGGAGGCCCAGGAAACAAGCTGTTTCAGTGGGGTCGGACCAGAGGGAGAGGGGTGTTGAGTCGGATTGAGGTGGAATGTGAAGAGGTGGTTGGTGTCGTTAGGGGATTATCCACATGCCGGGCACTCATTGGGGATATTGGGGTCGAGTCTGGACAGGTAGCTGTTGAGGCGACTACAATATCCAGACCGTAATTGAGCCAGGGTAACGCGGGTCTCTCTTGGCACTCGAAGCTCCGTCTCTTCTACGGATGGTGATTGGGCTCCAATTACGGCATTCCTAGGTCGACAGTAAAGGTAAGTGGTGACTGACTCTCTATGGATGTCGTTGATGGCTCGTCTGTATGTCGTCGGCTCCAGTGGTTGGTCTACGTATTGCTGGACTGCGTCCTTGTATACGAATAGTTGCCGCCTGACGTGCCTCGGTGGAGGCTCCTCCTGAGGCAGAGGTCTGTTTGGGTGTTCGCTTCTATGGCCCCCACCAGAAATTGCTAACAAAGCATTGCATTGTATTCCCTTACGGGGAGCACTTGGGCCTCGCTGTGTAGGTGGTGCTCAGGCGTCATCAGAAGGCACCCAGTTGCTGTCAGAAATGCGGCGTTCTGACATGTCTGTAGCTTCGTCCACTGCGTCCAACTAGTCCCCGGCGTCCAAACTGGCGCAGCATAGTTTATAACCGGCCGGCCAATTGCCTTGTATGTGGCCAGCAACGTTTCTGTGTCTTTGCCCCAAGTGCGTGTGTGCGTGGAGTAGGGTAGGAGAGCAGGCTATCGAAGGTGACCCCTAAAATTTTTGGGTTGTTTACAGTCGGTATTGGTGTGCCATCGACGTATATACCTAATTCTAGCCTGACCTCTTCGTCCAGGTAGTGAAGAGGGTCGCCGTTGATTTCGTTGGGGAGAGTGTTAGGCTCCTTGCAGTGAAGAAGTGAGAAAGACTGGAGAGATAGTCGTTTGCTATTGAGCAGAGGTCATCAATTCCATTCCCGGACGCCAAAATTCAGCAATCGTCAGCGTATGAGATCAGGGAGACTTACTCAGGTGGCTGGGGAAGCTTCGAGATGTAGAAGTTAAATAATAAGGGAGAGAGAACACCACCTTGTGGAACCCCTTGGTTAATTCTTCTTTGTTTTGAGGTTTTATCTCGGAAGATTACTGACGACTGTCGACCACTCATATAATTCGCCGACCATCGCTTCAGTCCCTGTAGGAGTGAGGAGGCCTCAACGTCTTCCAGCAGCGTGGAATAGCAGACGGTGTCAAACGCCTTTGAAAAGTCCGGCGCTACTAGGACCGTTCTCTCACAGGGGCGGTTTCGATTTAGGCCACGAGTGTATCTGGTTGTTTATGGCTTTAAGTGCTGTTGTTGTGCTATGCACTTTACTGAATCCGTGCTGATGCTTCGCTGGGGTCAGATGGCAGGTGAAGTGTGGAAGTAGCAGGGCCACTAATGTCTTCGCGACCGGGGAAAGGAGAGTTATAGGGCGATAAGAGTATCCTTTGTTGGCGGGCTTCCCCGGGTTCAGCAGTGGGACCACTCTCCCTGATTCCCACACATCAGGATGATGAGAGTGGCCATAGACAGGTTAAGGACCTCCGTTAGGTAAGCTACTCCCGTAGGCACCAAATGTTTCAGCATCAACATACAGATGCCGTCGGGTCCAATGGCTTTGGAGGTTTTCGTCTTCCCGATAGCCCCCTTCACTTCATAGCTGGTGAAAACAAGTAGTGCACTGTTTTTTGGCAGCTTGTGCAGCCTCCTGGTCACTCGACGTTTGGCCCTGTCTACCGAAGAATGCAGTGTGAATTTCCTACTGAAGTAGGTTGGGCATTTCTTTGGGTACGACGAAACGCGACCATCGAATGAGATTTCCACTCTTTTACCACGCTTCGTTGGGTTACACAAGGACCTCACGGTTGACCAGAGCTTACTCACACCAGATGTGAAGTTACATGCCTTCAAGTGCTCCTACTACTTTTTCCGCTTGTGCTGATTTACCAGTTTCCGAATCTCCAAATTAAGGTCCCTCAGACAAGGGTCCCCGGGATCGACCTGGTGTAGGTGGTCACGCTCATTTGCTAGTACAGCTGCTTCGGCCGGGAAATTTGGGCGGAGTTTCGCGATACGTCCGGACGGGATAAAGCGAGCCGCTGCGGCAGTGACTACTCTGCGGAACTGGCATTTGCCAGCATGTACGTTTGTGGGTGTGGGAAGAGCGGCGGAGCCGTCCCAATCAGCTTTGTTTAAGTTGGTGTAGGTTCGGTGGTCCGCGGGAGCAAAGCCGGTGGGCTTATTGATCGAGATGATTATGGGTAGATGGTCTGATGCTAGTGTTAGCATAGGTCGCCATGATATGCTATTGATCAGACCAGCGCTGGCAATTGTAAGGTCTGGCGAGCTGCCGCAGCTACTCGCAATCTTGGTGGGGGCGTCGTCGTTCATTGTGCAGAATGTCGAATCGTCTATCTGCTCAGCCGGATGTATTCCCCTACGATCATTTGAGAGGCTTGAGTGCCAAAGATCGTGGTGCGCGTTAAAGTCACCAACTACCATATGGTTTTCACCTCTGAGTAGCGCAGCCTATGTCAGGGTGATATCCTGCCGGGCATCGGGCGACAGGCGGTATATAGACGTTAAATATTTCGAGCTCGACATCGCCTGACCGGACAGCTATGCCCTGACATTCTAAGGTAGCATGAACGCTAATCCGCCACCATTATCTCGCTCGCGATCTTTACGGATACCATTGTAGGAGGCGCAACCCAACAGAGTTGAGTTGCTGTGCAATTTCGTTTCTTGGACCGCAGCTATCAATATGCCATGCCGACCCATAAAGACCACCATCTCCACAATCTTGCTTTGGAGTCCGTTGCAGTTGAGCTGTAGAAGTTAAATATATTTATCATTTTATAAACAGTTTATCACTTTTGATGAAGACCCCTAATAGCAAAGAAAACATTTTTTAAACTTGCCTCTCTTGAAATAGATTATCAAAATGGGGTGATACATGAATGTTAAAAAAAAAGATTGCGCCGCGCAGTGTTTCGACTATATGGAGGCAGGTAGAAAAAAGTCATGGTGACAGTTGATAAAAAAAACCGGTTGGACTTAGAGAGGGAAAAATAAAAGTCATAAATACCAAATTTTAAGTTATTTACTCACCCCTTCTTCACGAACGATACATTTCCAAAAAAATACGGGAATGGGCGCGATACCGACTAATCAGTTTAGTTTCCTTTGGCGATTAACCCATTAAAGAAAGTGTTTCTTTTTAAACTGTAATCAATTATTTAAATGTCGTGAAATATTCAGGTGAAGGTATTTACCATTTATTTGGTACTTTCCTATTTTCTCACCAAAAAATTTACTTTGAAATGTAGATGCTAAAGATTATTAGTAAAAAAATGTGAGTACCGGTCCGCCAGGTCTTGACATTAGACGAATGTTTTAGAGTATTTTATGTAGTTTCCGAATATATAATTTGATCTTTGCGCGCGACTTTGCAAATATATGAAATTTTTAATTTTCTTAATTTTTGATTTTCAGCTTCTTTTTGCATAATTTCGGGTAAATAATTTTTCGAACAATGTAAAAATCTCACCGGAAAAAGCGAATATTTACACCTAAGTCATTTTATAGTATAAACTTAGTTTTCTGAGAGTGGAAAGCAGGAAACAAGAATTAACCAAAATTCCAACACATTTAATGACTGGGCCCACATTTTTGAGAGTTTTGGAGGTTATAGAGATCCAATCTTCCCCATATGTTATATTTAGGTTTTCCTAATAAAATAAAGACTACAAACGAAATTTCAGCGCAATCGGATGAGATTTAATGTTTCCGCCCACAAGAGTAGAGGGCGTGGCAATTATCCAGCTTTGAAAAATTTCATAATTCTCTATTTCTAAGTAAAACTAGAGCACATTTCATGTTTCAGTGAAATCGGTGCAGGTGTACTATTATTTCCACCTGCCTCCATATAGTCGAAACACTGTGCGCCGTCCCGGCGGCGACGAAATTTCTCAAGTAAAAGTAAACAAAGCCGATTAGGAGGGCAAAGAAACTAGCGGAAGATTCAAATTTCTTAATATTGTGACGAATACTGCGTCAGCTCGAAGCGAACAACAAGAAATGACGTTGTGAAGTTGTACTCTATGGGCCAGTGTTTCAGTGCCAGTTTGAACTTAGTTTAAGTAAACTGGGTTTAAATTGAACAGCTGGCTGACATTTGATTGGCTGATCTTAGTTTAAACCAGCCAGATCGGGCGTTTAAACTGAGTTTAAACCGCGGCTGTGCACTGAAAAACGCCCTATATGTGATCAACTGGAAAGCAAGTTCTTGATCGTGTAACTTCACAGTAACACATTCGCTCGAACTCTTCAGCTATTGGCTGCACTTTTGTGGATTCTGTTTTCTAAGCCATTCACAATGAACTTTGTTGGTGATCCACAAAATCACCAATATTTGTAATCTGCGAATTTTGAATACATTCATCAGTTTGCTCATTGTTGGAAAAATCGAAGCGGCGAATCGGAAAAGTCGTCGGACGTTGCATTTTCCGACAATTAATAGTTATTATTTTTTGTTAAAGGTAATAAGCGATGTGAAAAAACCTTCTTTAGTGCGTGCTTTAAATATATATGTATAAGTGTAAACGCAAATGTAAATAATAACCAGGGAATTTGTAAATAAAGAGCTCGGTCAAGATTGCATTGCATCTTGCTGATGTCTGCAATTGCATGCATAGAAAAAATATATGTGGATGTTGGTGTTGTGAGAAAGTGACTGCATTAGTGGTAGTGGGTACTCGGTTTTTCATTACTCCGTATCGGTGGATAATAAAATGAAAATACTGATATTTACGTTTATCTAGATGCAAATTTATAAAAACAATTTCTTTTCACTAAACAAAAATTGTTAAAATCATTATAAGTGTAACTGCAACACCGAAATAAAGTCAGTCGTGTTAACGGCACCGTTAATTGCATCGCTACTCGTCGGATTGGCATGCATAGTTGAATAGATTGATATGCTACTGCAATATACAACTTTTTTCTATACACCAAGGGTGAAAGTGATGGACATTTTACGAAAAAAAGTCCATTGAATGCTACACAGCGTAGTAAAATAAGTAAATTTTCGATTTGTGGTGAAGAAAATCGTTGGCCGGAAACAGGAAAACGAATAGAAATCTCTATATACATAGATATCTACATACATAAATGTATATATATTTCTTCGTTGTTGCTTAGACTTGTTAATACAAGTCTACATATGTACATATACGTATTAAATTGAGTGCATTTATGATCCAAAATCTTATAAGTATTAATTTATTTTCCAATTTATGCATTTTCCAGATTTACTTTCGTATTAGGTTTTCCCTTCACTTGGCTGATTGTGTCGTAGTTGCTGTTACGTTTATTACCGTTTTGTGAATTGATAACTGCTTTTGGAGCTGCTGCTTTCCACACGTTGCAGTGTGTGCGGCGCGAACATTTGTTGTTGTCCGGTTGCAAGATGACTGACGTCTACGACGGCAACGGTGACTATGCAGCATACAACGACGACGATGACTATGGCAAGCAACGCAAAGGTGGTTGCGTGCCTGGAGTCGATCCTCACAACGGTGATAACTCAAATCATGATCTACACCATCATGTAGGTGGTGTTGTAGTTGGAGGTGGTGTAGCTGGCGGTATGGGAATGGTGGGCGGTGGTGGCGGCATTATAGGAGGCGATGGCGGCCAGTTGAATGATAAGGCCAACGAATACATTCGGGATTGTATGGCGGAAAAAAATCGTATGGATAGAAAGTTTCCAATTGCTGAAAAATTACTGGATTGTGGTGAGTCTTAGCGGTAGCATCGATTTTTTAAAATACAATTTAAATGTATATTTTATATCTTTGAGTGTTTGTGTTTGTTAATTGGCTTTGATTAAAAATTAAAGAATTGTTTCTGCTATCGTAGTAATACCACTAATATAGCAAACATTTTCTTCATTCGTTCTCTCTCAGATATTTTCTTTTTCAAAAGTTTTTATTTAAATTTTTTACTTATGTATTTTATTTGTACATTCGTATTTGTATTTAATTTAATTCTCTTTATTTTTCGTGCTAAATAATTATTTATTTTTTATAATTTTATAACACAACTACCTACATGTCTACACTTCTAACGAGTTTCATATGTAGAATATCTATTAAAAACCCTCAAAATACATATTTAATATAAATTACTACATACTTATGACGATACTATTAATAAATAGCAATAAGTTCATAATACACACTTAGGTAGGTACTTTACTTAATTACGAACATTGTTTAATTTAATTTAACTTTTTCCAGAAATCGAAAAAGTCCAATCTATGGGTCGCATACCGCCGCGGGAACAAAAATATGCGGATATTTACAGAGAAAAACCTTTGCGTGTTTCACAAAAAGTGTTAGTACCAATTAGGGAACATCCCAAGGTAATTTAAGTTTCGGATTGCTTTTCAATGCCATATTAATACCTATGTATATACATTTTATTTCAGTTTAATTTTGTTGGCAAACTATTGGGACCAAAAGGAAATTCACTACGTCGTCTGCAAGAAGAGACGCTCTGCAAAATGACGGTGCTGGGCCGAAATTCGATGCGCGATCGTGCGAAGGAGGAGGAATTGCGTTCATCGAAAGATCCGAAATATGCACATTTGAACAGTGATTTGCATGTGGAAATCTCTACAATTGCTCCACCGGCTGAAGCTTATGCGCGTATTGCTTATGCAATGGCAGAGCTCCGAAAGTACTTAATACCTGATAGTAACGATGTTATACGACAAGAGCAGCTACGAGAATTAATGGACAATACAGGCATTTCTGATGATGTAACCAAGTCGACTTATAAGAAAATGTCACATCAGCAAACTAGCAGTAGTGTAGGTGGTGTTGGAGGAGGTGGAGGCGGCGCTGGAGTTGGTGTTGGTGGGAGTGGCGTTTTGGGTGGTGGTTCATTAGCATCCGTAGGAGGTAGCAGTAATATCGGCATGGGTAAAGGTGCACCACACCATGGATACAGGTAAGTTAATTAAATGGATTGCCGAAAGTAGTGAGAGTTCATTCATGTATACAAATATTTATATATATTTGATAAAAGGACACCACAACCTTCACAAACTTTGCCATTCAGTAAGAATGCTGTTGCACCTAAACAAAAGGTACTCTCAATTTTGGAGAAGGCACGAACAGCCATGGAGGAAACTTATGGGTTGGTTCTCTTACATAAACACTTTGCGAGTGCCTTTCTTTGTTAATGACTTTATTCGAACTCATTGTAGACGCGGCTATGAAGATCCAATCTCATATGAACAACCCTCTTACGATGCATACCCCTATGGACATGGACCTACTACTCACACACATGCTGGGCATGTGCCAAGTAGTACCGGTATAGGAACAGCAAACATGGCACCGCGTGGACCCTACGATGTTTCCGAATATGAAACCGACTACAATAGACGCGACTATTATCCCAACTCTTCGAATTTTGGTGGTGCGTAGCATACTAAATCGATTGAAAAATGCTATTTTTTTTGTCATCCTAATCTATTTTCCATTTTCCAGGTGGTGCTTCGGCCATGCATTCAAATCACAACACTGGCATAAATCCGAGTCATAATCGAAGTCACGTTAACAGGTGAAATATGTTCGCCAGACCACACACAAATGCAAGTATTGTTGCGTCGCACATTACTACAGCCACAGCAGTCACCACCAACACTCCCCCAACCGCCAAAGTCAGTCAGAGTATTACGAACAGTAGCAACAATTATTACAATAACAGCAACAACAACAAATCCACCGCTCCACCCTTACAATCCCTGATTAATAACAATCAGCATAACTCTAGCCTACCACACTACCAAGCCTCGCCCGGCTTGAATGCTGGCGGCGGCGGAGGGAGTGCGAATTCCGTTGGAAAACTTTTAAATTCTGTATCTGGCTTGGGGCTCACCATGCCACAGCAATTAAATTCGAACTCGAAAAATAATCATGCATACCTGTTGCCACACCAACATCAGCAGACAGCGAATACGCTACAACAACACACACCGCAGCAACAGCGGCATCAACAAACCCTCCCACCGCCATCACGTCAATCACACTCTTATGCTCATAATAACAACAACAACAATAATCTTAATCGTAACCTAACTAATAACGTCGTTCCCAACATTTCCACCAATAATCTGCAACAAAAACAAACACAGCAAACATACTCTTCAGCCGCACCTCACACACAACTTCATATGAATGGCGCACCAACTACATCAACAATGGGCGCTACACCACCACTGAAGGCGCAGGCACAGCCACAACATAAACAGCAGCAGCACACGACTGCTATTGCCAACAACAGTAGTAAAATTAATGGTCCAGCTTTGTCAGCAACCAGCATGTTCTTTGTAAGGTACTAGAAGTTGTAGTGTTTGTGTGTAGGATTGCTAACTGGCAATGCATATATACATATGTATATTCACATGTATGCACATTCACACATTTTACGTGCAACAGCATTTCATTAACGCACTGCCTTTCAAACTCTGTAGCTATGCTGTTGTATAGCAAGTTTTTATAATTATATTAATTTCTTTATCTGCATCTGTTTACTTACAGACCAGCAAATCCACCGCTGCACATTGGTGAATTGCCACCATTTGTGCCGGTGCAACTCTTCTAAATTTATTTAAACTTTAAAGGTAGCAGTGTTGGAATAAGGAATGTTTTGATCGTTACCCACAACAACAGCGGAGGAACCTACAGCTGCATTAATAATATTCACAATAATTTCGTTGGTTGCATTCGGTCGCATTCAAATACATACGTGTACACATAGGCGCTTTAACAGAGCTGTTAACATATATATGTTACCGGCCAAACCCGATCTTAGGATAAACTAGTTTTTCCTAGGCTAAACTAGTTCTAACTAGATCCGATACATCCATCCAACGCGGAATCAAGTTGGACGCAACAATATTCTGGACTGCGTAGTTGGAGTTGGACTAATGAGGGTTATTTTTTTGAAGCGCGGCCGAAGGCTGCTTACGCGGAAAGAAGTTCTGCTCAAAAATACTGTGGCGCCTGCTCTAAGCAAAACCAGTTTGTCCTAAGATCGGGTTTGACCGATAACATATACATACATATGCATGCTGCAGATGATACACCATACCAGTGGTGAAATAAAAACAAAAAGGCTAAATAATATACTTTCAGCATTGATCAGCGATATCAAGTATATATAGATTCATATGTGCAAATCAACGAAATAGGGAAAGTTTAAGAAGTTGTAATAAATAGAAAGAGGAAAAACAAAACATGACGTAAAATCAAGCCCACTTGCATACATAAATTGTATTTACATACAGACACATGCATACATATGTAGATGTCCCCGGGATTATGCATAGGAAGCAGATTTAAAAAATAAGCTCTCATAAAAAATGATATTTATATATTTATATTCTTAATGAAACTGATTGCAACAAAAGAAATATGCTAAATATTACAAATAAAAAAAAACTTATTACTAGAAAGGTTTAACAAAAGAGTATAGCGCTTGCGGTGAAGAAATCAAAGATGATGTGAAACATGCAAACAGATACTTTCAAGAGTTTTTCAAATAATTAAATGGGAAAAACTTAACAATGAGATAAAAAAAAAAAATCAGAAATTGTATGTGTTAAAAGCCTATTTATTACATATTTTAAGCTCAAATTGCAAATTAGTAGCTAAAAGTAAAATACTACATATAATGGCATTAAAAAGAAAAAAACCAAAACAAAAATACACGAATAAATAATCTACAATGGCTAATACAAGATAAAATTATGGAAGACATTTAAAAACATGCAAAAATATGGATGTACACAAAGGACATACTTATACATATGCAATGAATGAACTGAATACTGATTTACACATTGTTTTCGCAGAAGGATGGATGGTAACACATATGTTTTATAAAGACACAGTTTAAGTTTTTTTTTTGTTAAATAACAAAATTAACTAAATGTTTATCATTAAAAGTATAGAATCAAAAGATATTTGGGTATTCATCTAGAGCGTGAGCTCGCCCATGCAGGCAACGCAAAATTCTTTTCAACAGGGCAGGTGAGCATTATTGGAGTCATTTATGTCTCCTCTAGAGAAATTCAAAATTATCAAAAAAATCATAGCTTAAGTAGAGTTAATTTTTTCAGTCCTAATTTAGCCGTGGTTAACTTAAAAATAATTTCAGCCCAACACTGTACGCTTAAACTAAATCGGCTCGAAATCAGACTGCATATAGGGGCAATACATTATAGATTTGTTATTAGAATATTAAGTGGATTTCCGTTCTTTAGTTTCTCCGCTTGTAAAGTTGTAATCTAACAGCTGGTGTTAGTTAGTCTTTTTTTTATTTTAGTTGACATTACTATTTTGATTTTATGATTTCAGTCGCAATGCTGCTTGTATGAATGAATACCCAAAATTGTTTAAAAAAAAATGTGACTTAGCACTGAGGAAAATGCCTATATATGCAAAAATATATTTAATTAAAAGAATATTATTGGAGCTTATTGCATTTAGAATTTATGTCAGCAAACATTTGAAAATTTGTTCATGAAAAAATTAAAGGAAAGGAAAGAAAACGAAACGCGTTTTGGCGAATGCCAATATCCATCGCCTAAATAGAATTGGCAAATTTCCTTAGACTTGACTATGTTAAATAAAAATAAGAAAACAAGTTTTTGTTTTTGCAAAAAGTGAGGGACAATGATTACTTTTCTAAAAAATACATACATACATAAATAAATAAAATTACGAAAATTGTTGGAAACAATAAAAAAACAACCACACATTAATATACAATACACATAAATATAGTTTGTAACGAAATCTTAATAAAGCATAAAGTTATTAACTAATATGATACTTACAAGCAAATATAAAATTATAAAAAAATATTGTAACACGTATAAACTTTAAGAATATAAAATTAAACCAAGCAGTCGTTAAATCGATTTTGAAAATATGAATAAATAATACATACGCATACAGTATATATAATGGAAAAAATAATAAAAACGATAATCGCTATATGGATTAATAAAAAAAATCTATGAAAAAAACTAAATACTACTTACGATGATTGCAGCAGTGTTTGGTTTAAAAATTTATAAACTTTCGCAATGAATTGGGATTTAACGCTGAAGAAGGCCAAACAAACGTATTGCACTCTATTTTGGATGGCTTTTACATGAGTCTCGTTTCTTGAATGACGCCTTCTTTTCTGTAAACGTGCTGCACTGTGCAATTAATAATAATTACTCTACGAAAAATAAATGGTATACAATAAAAAAAATACATTAATTAATACAAAAAATGTACAACATATGTTTTCTATTTTTTTTTTTGTGCTTAGAAAACTGGGAGTATGGGCCTGTTCGAGGCGTGTAATAAAAGCGGCAATACTGCAGCAGTGATGAAAGTTTACAAGGTGCCCAACTGATAATACGTTGTTAGAAATCCGTTAATGATTCGCGCAGTACTGCGGTTATGGTTGCAACTCGAACAAGCCCTTTGTATATGTGTTTTCGGAGTTGAGATTACTTTTTTAAATTGTTCTTGTTGCTGTTGTTGTAGCGGTACTCCTAAGGCTCGCCTATTTTACACGTATAGGTGCCCCTTAACGTGCCTGGGCGGTGGCTCCTTATCTAGCAGTGGTCTGTTAGGGTGTTCACTTCTGTGGCACCCAACCAGAAACTGCTTACAAAGCATTTTGTTCTGCTACCTTACGGGGAGCACTTGGGCCTCGCTGTGTAGTTGGTGCTCAGGCGACATCAGAAGGAACCCGGTCGCTGTCCGGAGTGCGGCGTTCTGACAAGTCTGTAGCTTCGTCCAACTAGTCCAAGGCGTCCAAACTGGTGGTACATAATTTAAAAGCGGCAATGCCTTGTATGTTGCCAGCAACGTTTCTTTGTCTTTGCCCCAAGTGCTGCCGGCGAGCGACTTGAGGGGCATAAATGCACAATACTACCAAATCTCGAATTAAAAAAATTCATACGGGGATCGATAGAGATCATTGAGGTGAGTGTAACGATGTATTTTTTTTTTTTGGGAAACAACAACTACAACAATTATTAAAGGTCAAAGTTCAAATTAAGCATTTTCTCAAATTAATATTTCTCGAAAACCTCTTCAAGGAATTGGACAATTTTGATATCATTTGATAGAGAATTTAATTCTCTTTAATTTGTATACATATTTATTTAGCGCTTACGCAGAAAGGTGTTCTCTGCAAAAGGTGTTCAGCGCCTTTTCTTCACAACACAGAAAGAGAATTCTACTTTGTGAGGGTTATAATCCATAAGTGCGGCCGAAGGCCGCCTACGGAGAAAGGTGTTTATACACAAAAACCCTGTATACCTTTTTTCCACATTAATTCCATTTTCGTGAAAACTATAAAAAGGTATATGTATAAATATGTAAAGAGAATTAAATTCTCTATCAAATGACATCAAAATTGTCCAATTCCTTGAAGAGGTTTTCGAGAAATATTAATTTGAGAAAATGCTTAATTTGAACTTTGACCTTTAATAATTGTTGTAGTTGTTGTTTCCCAAAAAAAATAAATATACCGTTATGTTCACCTCAATGGTCTCTATCGATCCTATTTTTTTTTTTTTTAATTCGAGATTTGGTAGTATTGTGCATTTGTTCCTCAACTTTGTTTACATTTTACTCAAAACTGTCAAATTTAGTTCTATTTCTATTATAATTTTAATATTAATTTCTTTTACTTTTAATATTTAAAGTCAAAAATCTGATCTGAATGTTCTTTGCTTTGGGTTTTCATTTCCTACCCGGCCTGTCTATAAGCAAAAATAGTCACCTCGACTGTGTTGTGTCTCAGATGTCCAGGTTGCCGTACAACTTTGCCATTGTACCGTAACCGACTTTAACAGTCGGTTTATCTTTTCGGACTAAAACCTGAAAAATGTCAAAATGCAAGAGCGTAAGCAAAATGCGCTCACTAAAAGAGAATAATAGGAAAAGTAAAGGAACGCAAAAAACCAAATTTTTATTCCAAATAAGAATAAAATTTATGTACAAAACACATTCACACAAGCACAAGCACAATAAACACTTACTATATCAATTATTTTTTGCCTCCTTCCACCTTCAATTCACTTTTTTACTTCTTTAATTTCCGTTAATTCAAATTCAGTTGAGTTTGACACTTTTCAAGATTTTAGTTGCGATCCCGTACGAGTCCGGACTAGTCAGAATCAGTCAGATTTTACTGGAAATCGATCCCGTACTCGGTTCTCTGACTATTGAGAGGACAAAAAAAGATAGTAAATACGGTTCTCTCTCTGTCAGAAGTTACCAGTTTTAGTCCGAGAATTTTTTGCTGGTAAATTCTGGTAAATGTGTCAAACGATCAGCTGTAGTGTGTTTGGCAACCAAATTAGGTTTGTTCGTCGAGCAAAAAATTTGTACGAATTTGTACGAATTATCACGATTTTTGCCCAAATCGCGTTCGTGCAGACCAAAAAATTATCCAACACTCAAAAATTGTGAGAGCAAAGTGACAGTTCTCTTGGAGAGAAGTTGCAAATTCTTGCTGGAAAAAATTTTGCCAGCAAGAATTTGCAAACAGGAAAAACATGTGGTTGTGGCGCATGGTTGCATTTTTGTCTACAATAATTTGAATAAATTAGTTTGTTAAATTTAAAAATTTATAAACACGAGCGATTTTTTTATGAAAAAAGGAAGTAAATAATTGGACTTCAGTCAACTTTAACATAACCTCCAAATTTTGGTTGTAAATATTTGCTTATTTCTTATGTAAACACACTCAGCTAGCACATGTAAATAACCAAAAATACTTCAAAATTCATTAGAATCAACTTGATCAAGTAATTAAATACTTTTCAACATGAATTAGCAGAGTGAACTTTTTCTTTTGTTTACAATTTGGTTGCCAAACACACTACAGCTCATCGTTTGACACATTTACCAGAATTTACCAGCAAAAAATCTTCGGACTAAAATTGGTAACTTTTGACAGAGAGAGGACCTTTTTCACTCTCTTTTTTGTCCTCTCAATAGTCAGAGAACCGAGTACGGGATCGCTTTCCAGTAAAATCTGATTCCTTCCAGTAATTCTGACTAGTCCGGACTTGTACGGGATCGCAACTAATATTCGGTAGTGATAGGCCTTATTCCGTCTCCGGTCCGAACTTACCATTTGCTACCATATTTTATTTGAAATCGATACCGTACTCGTTGTGAGCATATTTTTCATATTTAGTATCTCAGAAGTTGTTCGTCCATAGGGCTACATTTGCTACGTATTCTTCTGCTCAGGGCTGGCATCGAGTCAAACCCAAGGCCAGAAACACCTTCTGTGTATGCCAGAGACGACTACACCACAACTCCACCTCATTCAAGTGCAATTCTTGCGACGGGTGGAGTCACCTCAGAGTCTGCTCAGGCCTACGAACTCATCCGAGGTGCGTGGACCTCATCATTTGTGGCCCCATGCTGCTCAAAAAGAGCAGTCTTCACGGCTGACACCAGTCCAACTGAGCAGCTCAACACAAACACCACAGCACCACAACACAACAACACAATAGACCACACCACAACCACGACAGATCACACAACAGACACAACCGCACTACCACCCACATGCCGCCGCCAACCACGACAGTCAAGTGCAACATCTGCCTTGGCTGGTGCCACTTTAGGGCATGTTCAGGTCTGCGCATCACGCGAGATTGGACGAGGAAGTTCGAGGGTCCGTGTTGCGCTGCTCGTTCGCCAATCCAAAATGCGACACCACCCACTAGTACCACAGGGCGGCATCCTCCACAGCCACGCACACAGCCAATGTCGGCAAGGCAACACACATCCCTCACACCCCGCATAACAACACGTCTCCCGAAGTACATGAAGCTCCTTCAATTTAACTGTAACGGGCTTCAGAGCAAGATCGAGGAGATAACCGTCTTCATTGGAACGCATGGTATATTGATAGCTGCTGCCCAAGAGACGAAGCTGCACAGCAATTAAACGTGTCACCAGCTGCCAGACAGGATATCACCCTGATATAGGTGCGCTCCTCAGAGGTGAAAACCGTATGGTAGTTGGTGACTTTAATTCGCACCACGATCTTTGGCATTTAAGCCTGTCAAACGAGCGTAGGGCAACAGACTTGGCTGAGCAGATAGACGATTCGACACTCGGCACAATGAATGACGACGCACCTACCGGGATAATGGGCAGCTGCTGCAGCACGCCAGACAATAATAGTGAGCGCTGGTCTCATAAACAGCGTATCATGGCGACCTATGTAGACTTTGGCATTAAACCATCTACCCATAGTCATCTCGATCGATAAACCAACCGACTTTGCTTTCGAGGGACATCTACATTGGTGAACGTAAGTTCCGCAGGGTTAGCACTGCTGCTGCAGCTCGCTTCGTACTGCCAGGATGCTTTACGGACCTCCGTTCAAACTTTCCTGCTGAACCGGCTGTTTTAGCCGATGAGCGTGACAACCTTCGTCAGGCCGATACCGGAAATCCCCGTATCAGGGATATCAACGCGGAGATTCGGCAGCTTGTGAACGTACATAAACGGAAAAAGTGGGAAGAGCATCTGAAAACTTGAAATTTTGCCGCTGGTGTCAACCGTGAGGTTACTGTCCAATCCGACGAAGCAGGGTAACAGGGTCGAAATTTCTTTCGGTGACCATGCTTCTTCAGACCCAGAGCGATGCGTGAGCTATTTTAGCCGGCAGTTCACCGCAACCGTCCCTGTGAGAGAACTATTCTAGTAGCGTTGGACCTGTCAAAGGCGTTTGACACCGTCAGCCACTCCACGCTGCTATAAGACATAGAGGCCTCTTCTCTCCCACAGAGGCTCAAATGGTCGTCGGCGAATTATCTAAGTGGTCAAAACTCGTCAGTTATGTTTAGAGACAAATCGAGTAAACCTAGAAAACTAAAACAGGGGGTTCCACAAGGTGGTGTCCTTTCCTCATTACTGTTTAACTACTACATTTCAAATCGCCCTCAAACACCAGAGGGAGTCTCGATTGTCTCCTATGCTGACGGTTGTTCGATAATGGCGACTGGGAATGAATTGATGACTTGTGTTCGAAAGTAAACGGATATCTCTCCGAGCTTTCTCGCTTCTTCACTGCTAGGAGCCTAACCCTCTCCCTAAATTAATGTGAATCGAAAAAAGGAAAAAAATCGAAGCATATTTTAGCGGACTAGATTGTAAATTTATAAAACAAATAGGAGTAGATCTACTGCGATCGGAGCGACATCCGAACGCTGATGATAGCTGTGGGGGTGGTGAAATACAAAATTGTTTGCAATTTGTTCGAAAGGACTTTTTTAGAATTCCTTGTAAATTAATTTTAAAATATTTAAAAATCCAACCGAAAAGTGTCTAAAAACTAACTTTAAATTTAAAATAAAAATAGTTATTTGTGCCTTGTACCGTTTTGTACCAGTTGAGCGAAAGCCATGACTTCATCAGAGTAAATACATATGTATGTACATATAAACTCAAACTACTCCCAAGGATTAAACAAAGCAGCAACAGGGCGGACAGAAAAATGAGTGTACGTGGCAACAGTGAGAACTGCGTGGAGGAGCCTGTTGCGCCGGAATGGCTATCGAAATTAGAAAGCCGCCGTGAGAATTTGCAACGCTCCACAAAGTTGAGTCACGAAGTGGGTGCTGGTGCGCCCTGTGGAGAATGTGGAGATAAATGCCCTGGGTTGGATTTGCATTTTTGGCGTAAAGTATGCCGTAATTGCAAATGTCGTAAGGATCAGCACAAATGTGTGGATGATGACCTGTCATCATGGGCACAGTTTGAAATTTTGGGACAAATCTGTTCAAAACCAGCTTGTAAGTAGTCGATGTTATCTGCATTCTCAATCATATATGAGTATACTAATGTATATAAAGTGTGTATGTAAATTATAGTAAGGAAATGTTAAGTTAGCGTCTTTAATTAACATTAGATATTTCTTTCATTCGCAGTCATTAAGATTAAAGCGCTTGCAAGCCAACCCGTACAAGTAGATTGGGTGCCACCGAACACCACGCCAGATGTTGTTTCCGATTATATGGAAAAATTGGGTGCTACCAAAGTGCCAGTTGTGGGCAGTGATGCTGCTCAAAAACGTAAGCAACAATTGGAATTCCAAGTGCCGCCACATGATCTGAATGCTGCACTATGTGACAATCTGAGCGAAGCCGAAGCCGCACAACTACAGCAATATGTAGTGAAGATTAGAGAAAATTGCGTTGGCCAGGGAGTCGTTGTACGCATCGGTAATATGGGCATCGGTTTTGTTGAATATATAACACCGCAACAACAAAATATTTCTAACATGGATGCATACACACTGCCAATGAACATTCAACAAATACCATTAAATGCTGCCCTAAGTAGCGAAACAAGTGAAATATCCTTCCACTCACCGGTACCGGTCAAAAGTCTGGCTCATGCACGTTATAGCGCTCAAATGCGGCAGGAAACGCCCGCAAGGAAACTTAAATTCGGCACTCTATGCAATTTGGCAAGTGTATGTGGGTTGCCAGTAAATGTTGATTACGATAAAGATACTGTTTTCGCTCAAATACTTCATTCCGAACCACTTAAAAAGGCCATGGAAAATAAAAGTAAAGGCTTGGCCACTTTACCTGTAGTAATTTCACAAGCGCATATGTTGCCAGATTTCATGAATGCGTCAATTTTGAGTTCAGCCACAAAGCAGAAGCTTAAAGACATAGGTGTCAATGTAAAGGCGGTGCAAAGTGCCTTACTGAATAGCCCATTTTATGATGCACTTTATGACACATTAAAACAAAATGATATAAAATTCGCCGAGTGTCGCGTCTTAGGCCCCATACAGGAGCTCAGAGAGGAGGTGCTAGTGAACAAACCAGTAGCCGAGGAGCTCAGTAGTTTTGTATCTCAACTGCCAAACAGCCCTGCTATTATGTATACAAGTCCCATAGATACTGGTTTAGGAAAGCCGGGACTTAGTGGTTCCAACAGTAACGATTCAGGCTTTGGTTCTAAGGCCTCAACACCGGTGGGTAGCGTTGACACGGTGGCAGGGGGTTTACCAAGTGCCTTTCAACAAATACGCATTGCTAACAATGTAGCAAAAGGTATGTAAATACAAAAATACTTAGAAAATATCCTTCTATCTTCTTTATTATATTGCAGAACCTCCACCAGTTGTGAAATGTCGTGATTGCGCCAAGCCCATAGCACTTGGTGATGTCGCTGTAAAAGCAGAACGTGCTGGTAAAGAAATAGCCTGGCACCCCGAGTGTTTCAAATGCTATACATGCCGTGAGCTGTTGGCGGATTTGGTGTATTTCTTTCACGGTGGCCAAGTTTATTGCGGTCGTGATTTAGCTATTAATTTGAAGATACCGCGTTGCAAGGCTTGCGATGAATTAATCTTCACAAAAGAGTACACTGCCGCCGAAGGTGCTACTTTTCATATTAAACATTTTTGCTGCTATCACTGTGACACACCGCTGGCTGGGCAACAGTACATACCAGACGAAAAGACTAATATGCCGTTATGCTTGAAATGTTACAACGATTTTTTTGCGGCCACTTGCGAACGTTGCAATCGGCAAATCGAACCTACCGATCAAGGTGTTGCTTGGGGTGATGTGCATTGGCACAGCAACTGCTTTATTTGTGCAGGTGTTGATTGTGGCAAATCGTTGATCGGTGGTCGCTTTTGCGTGAAACAGAGAATGCCTTTTTGCAGCCCAGCATGTGTTAGAAGTATTATATGAAACAATGTTTGATATAGAACTTAGTATTTACTATAACATAAGTATTTAGCACAAGACGAACAATGACATAATTCCTATTTAAAAATGCATAATATACATAAATATTTTTATATACTGTATTTTTTCAAAAGTATGCCAGTTTACTTATTGTATTTGCACGCTTTGAGGTGTCACGAAATAAACTTATACACTTTTTAAATGTGAGCCTGAAGTTTTACATATGTGTGTAGGGGTTTAAAGGTCAGTACTTTAACGAAGTAAAATTTAAATTGCTTTAAATTGCTGTCTTTGCCAGCGCGCATTAAATGTTTATTCACTGAACCTGTACATTGTACAGGTCCGCCAGATACCAGAATTGAAAATCAAGAAGTAAGAACGGAGTACCACTCCGTGACTTTCCTGATTTTAGAGGATGACCACCAGAGGGAGTCTCCATCATCTTTTGTGCTGACGATATCTCGATAATGGCGTCCAGAAATGAAATTAATGACTTGTGGTCGAAAGTAAACGGTTACCTCCCCCAACTTTCTTGTTTTTTTTTTCACTGCAAGGACCCTAACCCTCACCCCTAAGAAATCCTCTGCAAACCTTTTCACCATCTGGACGAAAGAGGTCAGACCACAGCATTCCCAAGACAGCCGGAGGAGGTGAAAACCGAATGGTAGTAGGTGTCTTCAACGCCTACCACGATCGTTCGCAATCAAGCCTGGCAAATGTGTGTTGGGGAAACCTATTGGCTGAGCAGATAGACGATTCGACACTTTGCACCATGAACGACCACGCCCCCACCAGGATTGTGGGCAGCTGCAGCAGCTCGCCAGCCTTTCTTATACCCACAGACATACACGCCAGTTCGGCAGGGTAGTCACTGCCGCAGGGGCTCGCTTCATACAACATCGCGGAAGTCTGCCCAAATTTCCCGGCAAAAGCAGCTGTTCTAGCAAATGAGCGTGACCACCTACGCCAGGTTGATCCCGGCAATCCTCGCCTGAAGGACCTTAAAAATTTTTTTTTTTTGGGTACCCTTTGATAGCCTGGTCTCCTTCTCCGCCTTCTGATGTCGCCTGAGCACCACCTACACAGCGAGGTCCAAATGCTTTCCGTAAGGGAGCATATCATAATGCTCTGTAAGTAGTTTCTGGTGGGGTGCCACAGAAGCGAACACCCTAACAGACCTTTGCTAGGGGAGGAGCCTTCGCCGACACATCAGGGGGCACCTATTCATTTATAAGGACGCGGTACAGACATATATCGACCAACCACTGGACCTGGCTACGTTACGACGAGCGATCAACGGCATTCATAGGGAATCGATCACCACTTACCTTGATTCTCGACCTATGAATGCCGTAACTGGAGCCCAATCACCACCCGTAGAAGAGACGGAGCTTCAACTGCCAAGAGAGACCCGCCTTACCCCGGCCCACTTACGGTCTGGATATTGTAGTCGCCTCAACAGCTACCTGTCGAGACTCGACCCCAATATCCCCAATGAGTGTCCTCTTCACATGTTAGCTTAATCCCACTCAACTAGCACCACTCTCCCTCTGGTCCAATCCAGTCGGAATGGCACACTTCCCAGGCCTCCCGTTAGTTGAACTTGACAACAAGGATTGGAGGATGAACTGGCAACCGGCACAAAGCACGAGAGCGCTTGGTGCCACTTAAATGCTGACAGTCCTTAAGGTGTGGCCATCATCCGCGACTTGCAAGGCGATTGGGCGGTAGATGATTAACTACACAGCGACAATGCGGATGAAAATTTCAATAACTACATGTTCTGCGTGAGGCCATAGTCGCTACTTAAACACCTCTCGTCGTATATTTACCATTACACCAGAAAACTAAAGGTCAGCGCCTGCACACGCTCTAAGCTTCCCTAAACTCAGTCTCTTCGAGTCGGATAAATTACGTGTTGACAATCGACAAGAGTCCTGGAGGCGCTGACTACTGCTGTTACTAAAACAACATCTTTGTGATTCCCTAAAGCGTTGAAGACTGGAAACTGAAGGCCTTTGTCCGAATGTAAATTATGCTATTGGTTTATTTCTGTCCGGAGAGATTTCTGTTAGCATGTTACTCAGGAAGCACCGCTTCGCCTAGGGGGAAATTGTACAGGACATTCGCAATCATAGTGAATTACACCTGGAAGGCTTAAACCGCTTGCTTTACGAAGTTATTTGGTAGGAGGATAAATATGGACTTCCGCGCGAGATGAGGTCAATCCTGGCTTAGCTGTGATCTGACTGCTATAGTTTGTAGGCTTAATAAATCCAGAGCAGGATGGGAAAGATGACCAAGCAGGCAATTTGTGGAAAAAGGGATGTTAAAATAACAATTCCTGTGAGTCGCTAATTTCTAAAAAAAAATCTTGAAAAATAAAAAAGCAAAAAAAGTTTAATAAAAAGAATTAAAACAAAATGAAGTGCAATGCAAAAATTGATTAAAAAGTAATGAAAAATAAAATGATGTTATACAACGCAAAATAAAATGAAAAATTAAAATACAATATAAAAAAGGTATAAAGTTACAAATATAAAATTAAATAAAAAGTCTAAAAATAAATAAATAAAATAAAATGATAAAATATAAAAAAATTAAATTAAATTAAAAATAAATATAAATATAGTTAGACGTAATGAAACAAATTAAAATAATAAAAGATATACATTTATGAAAATAAAATAAATAAAATATTAAAAAATTTAAAAAAGTATAACAAAATAAAGTAATAGAAAATTCAATAAAATGAAATAGAACAAAAAAAAAAAATAAATGAAAAAAGTAATAACAATAATCAATAAATAAAATTCAATAAAATAAAATACAATATAATAAAACGAAATGACATCAAATAAAATAAAAAGGAAATAAATTAAAGAAAATAAAAAATAAATAAAATAATGAAAAATAATATAAAATGATAAAAAAAACGATAAAATAAAATGTAATAAAACAAAATAAAATAAATAAATCAAAGTAAATAAAATGAATAAAATTATGTAAAATATAGCAATATAAGATTGAAGATTTCATAAAATAAAATACAACGAAATAAATCTCAAGAAATTACAATAAAAAATAAAATAAAATAAAATAAAATAAAATAAATAAAATAAAATAAAATAAAATAAAATAAAATGAAATGAAATGAAATGAAATGAAATGAAATGAAATGAAATGAAATGAAATGAAATGAAATGAAATGAAATGAAATGAAATGAAATGAAATGAAATGAAATGAAATGAAATGAAATGAAATGAAATGAAATGAAATGAAATGAAATGAAATGAAATGAAATGAAATGAAATGAAATGAAATGAAATGAAATGAAATGAAATGAAATGAAATGAAATGAAATGAAATGAAATGAAATGAAATGAAATGAAATGAAATGAAATGAAATGAAATGAAATGAAATGAAATGAAATGAAATGAAATGAAATGAAATGAAATGAAATGAAATGAAATGAAATGAAATGAAATGAAATGAAATGAAATGAAATGAAATGAAATGAAATGAAATGAAATGAAATGAAATGAAATGAAATGAAATGAAATGAAATGAAATGAAATGAAATGAAATGAAATGAAATGAAATGAAATGAAATGAAATGAAATGAAATGAAATGAAATGAAATGAAATGAAATGAAATGAAATGAAATGAAATGAAATGAAATGAAATGAAATGAAATGAAATGAAATGAAATGAAATGAAATGAAATGAAATGAAATGAAATGAAATGAAATGAAATGAAATGAAATGAAATGAAATGAAATGAAATGAAATGAAATGAAATGAAATGAAATGAAATGAAATGAAATGAAATGAAATGAAATGAAATGAAATGAAATGAAATGAAATGAAATGAAATGAAATGAAATGAAATGAAATGAAATGAAATGAAATGAAATGAAATGAAATGAAATGAAATGAAATGAAATGAAATGAAATGAAATGAAATGAAATGAAATGAAATGAAATGAAATGAAATGAAATGAAATGAAATGAAATGAAATGAAATGAAATGAAATGAAATGAAATGAAATGAAATGAAATGAAATGAAATGAAATGAAATGAAATGAAATGAAATGAAATGAAATGAAATGAAATGAAATGAAATGAAATGAAATGAAATGAAATGAAATGAAATGAAATGAAATGAAATGAAATGAAATGAAATGAAATGAAATGAAATGAAATGAAATGAAATGAAATGAAATGAAATGAAATGAAATGAAATGAAATGAAATGAAATGAAATGAAATGAAATGAAATGAAATGAAATGAAATGAAATGAAATGAAATGAAATGAAATGAAATGAAATGAAATGAAATGAAATGAAATGAAATGAAATGAAATGAAATGAAATGAAATGAAATGAAATGAAATGAAATGAAATGAAATGAAATGAAATGAAATGAAATGAAATGAAATGAAATGAAATGAAATGAAATGAAATGAAATGAAATGAAATGAAATGAAATGAAATGAAATGAAATGAAATGAAATGAAATGAAATGAAATGAAATGAAATGAAATGAAATGAAATGAAATGAAATGAAATGAAATGAAATGAAATGAAATGAAATGAAATGAAATGAAATGAAATGAAATGAAATGAAATGAAATGAAATGAAATGAAATGAAATGAAATGAAATGAAATGAAATGAAATGAAATGAAATGAAATGAAATGAAATGAAATGAAATGAAATGAAATGAAATGAAATGAAATGAAATGAAATGAAATGAAATGAAATGAAATGAAATGAAATGAAATGAAATGAAATGAAATGAAATGAAATGAAATGAAATGAAATGAAATGAAATGAAATGAAATGAAATGAAATGAAATGAAATGAAATGAAATGAAATGAAATGAAATGAAATGAAATGAAATGAAATGAAATGAAATGAAATGAAATGAAATGAAATGAAATGAAATGAAATGAAATGAAATGAAATGAAATGAAATGAAATGAAATGAAATGAAATGAAATGAAATGAAATGAAATGAAATGAAATGAAATGAAATGAAATGAAATGAAATGAAATGAAATGAAATGAAATGAAATGAAATGAAATGAAATGAAATGAAATGAAATGAAATGAAATGAAATGAAATGAAATGAAATGAAATGAAATGAAATGAAATGAAATGAAATGAAATGAAATGAAATGAAATGAAATGAAATG